ACATGTTTTTATTACTTGCTACTATGTAGACGAAAGCAAAAAATAGCGTGCCACCGTCCGCTGTGGAACTCTTCGATCACACGCATAAGAAGAAGTCGAGTACAGAGTCATCTTCGGGTTGCGTGTCATGAGGGGAGTACGTGACTTCGAGGTGTAGTCGGGTTGCGGTAAGTTTACAATACCTATATATAACTTCAAACTCTATATTGGGTTGTCGTATGTTGGAAACGTTAGGATTATTTAAGTTAAAATGTTAGTGTATGTGATATATTTCTATCTAGTTTGGGTTGCCATTTGTTGGGCAAACATTAGGATCGTTTAAGCTAGAATGTTAATATATATATATATATATATATATTTTGGGTTGCCATTTATTTCAAACTCTATAGTGGGTTGTCGTATGTTGGAGAAACGTTAGGATTATTTAAGTTAAAATGTTAGTATATGTGTGTGTGATATATATTTCTATCTAGTTTGGGTTGCCATTTATTAGGCAAACGTTAGGATTGTTTAAGTTAGAATGTTAATATATATATATATATATATATATATATATAGAGAGAGAGAGAGAGAGAGAGAGTTTGGGTTGCCATTTGTTGGACAAATGTTATGATTGTTTTAGTTGGAAACGTTTCATTTACAGTCGTTATGCTGTTGAAATTGACTAGTAGTATTTTTTTAAACCACAGGGTACCTATTCAAACAATCTCACCGAAAAGTACAGTGAGGATCCCTCGGCTCATCCCTTAGTTGATACTGACTTGTGGAATGAAGTGGTTGGGGGATCCAGGAAAGGCCGTCTATGTGGGTTCGGGTACAATGAAGATCCCAATTTGGTCTTGACCGGGACATCCTCACAAGCAAACTCGAGTAGATCGCCTAATGTAGATAGTGAGGTGTGTACATCTTAAACCTTTGATGTTTATTTATTTCATTTATACTTCTTATTAGAAAGTTTAACGTTTTATTTTATTTGTAGTTCATTAACAACTTACAGTCCCAAATTCAAGAAATGCACACTCGAGATGAAATCTGACAGAAGGAGGTTGAGGAACTTCTTCGCCGAGAAGAGATCCGAAACAAGGAAGATGAGATCCGGAAGAAAGAGCATGCAGACATGATGGATATGATGAAGAGGTTTACACAATCTCAACAGTTTCCGCCGAACCCGCCGCAATAGATTTGATATATTATATTTATAAACTAACGTCGTCAATCGAATTTATATATGTATGTTATTTCGTACAGATAATCATATTAGGTATTTATGACATATTTGTGTATTGTATATTTGTATTTAATGACAAGATCTTTATATTTTAGGATTTTATATTTTGGTTTTTTGGTTTTTTTTTCCTGTACCAGTTAAATTTCCGACGGATTTCTGATGGAAAATCCGTCGGTAAATAATTAGATATAAGTTTTATTTAAAAAATTTCTGGCGGATTTTCCGACGGATTTCCGACGGAAAATCCGTCGGCAAATATTTTCCGTCCATTAAAAAAAAATATATATATATTTTCATATTTTAAATTAGAAAAAGTTTTCCGACGGCAAAATCCGTCGGAAAAATGTTATTTTTATTTTTGAAATAAAAACCGGTTATTATTTTGGAAAAAAAGGGGAAAAGTTTACCGACGGATTTCCGACGGAAATTCCGTCGGTAAATCTAATCTCATTTAATATTACTTCTAATTAACCCGGGTAACAGATAACATATTATAAAATTGCACGACGGATTTCCGACGGATTTTTTCGTCTGAAAATACAAAACCGTCGGAAAATGCATTTAGCGGCGGGGGTTTTTCCGACGGCAAAATCCGTCGGAAATCCGTCAGAAAGTTGTTTTTCAGACGGATTTCCGACGAATTTTGCCGTCGGAAAAACTAGATTTTTTAGTAGTGTAATTCTTTATATGTTTTATCGTTTATTAGGATATCCCTTGTTTTAAAATTAGTTTGTTTAGAAATTATTAAGAGTCCAATCTCACTTCAATAACCGATAATGAAATAGTTTCATATATCGTAACCGTTAATGAAATAGTTTCATAACTGCGAGTTCATAACATAAACGGTAAAACAATTTCATTCATTCAATGAAACAAAATATTTCCTTTAGTATTCAAAAGGTTTCATTATTTTTTGTTGATTAAAGTAAGTTTTTATGTTTCATAATTTATTATGGTATACCTAGTTTTATTGCTCCTACTTGGATCTATTTTTAATGTAGATGTTATTTTATTTACAATATTTAGTCATAAAATNTATATATATATATATATATATATATATATATAGGCGGGTTTTGTTACAAACCGCCCAATTTATGAAAATATGCCAACCATTTTCGACCAATAGAAAAATTCAGTTTTTTCTTTTTCTCTTTAATTTTAATAAATAAGGGTATAATGGTCATTTGATTGTATACTGGTTAAAATTGTAAGGTAATAATTACTCTTAATTATGGAAACGTAATAATAGAAACATTTAATATAAAAGGTGGTAAATCAATTTTTTTTCTTAATATAAATTTTGTTACCATTAATAGTTTTTATTATTTTATTAAATTATATTTATTAAATTATGAATTATAAAAACATTACAATATAAAATCTGATTTTGTTTCATTGAAAAAATATATATACTTGGAGTAATGAAACGATTGTTATGGTCAAAAGTGACCATGAACACAATTTCACTGATGAATTTAATTTATTTATATTTCGAAATGTTTTATGCATGAAAAAGTTTCACTTAAGAAATAAAGTATTCAATTTTCAAAATATTTCTTTCAATTTTTAAAAATGTTTAATTCTTTATATGTTTCATCATTTATTAAGATATCCTTTGTTTTAAAATTAGTTTGATTAGAAATTATTAAGAGTTCAATCCCACTTCAATAACCGTTAATGAAATAGTTTCATATATCGTAACCGTTAATGAAATAGTTTCATAATCGTGAGTTCATAACATAAACGGTGAAACAGTTTCATTCATTTATTTAATGAAACAAAATATTTTCTTTAGTATTCAAAATGTTTCATTATTTTTTGTTGATTAAAGTATGTTTTTATGTTTCATAATTTATTAGAATATACATACTTTTATCGCTCCTTACTTGGATCTATTTTTAATGTGGATGTTATTTTATTTATAATATTCAGTCATAAAATGAAGATAATTTTTATCAAACGTATAATTTATCATATTATTCTAACATTTTTTGTTAAAATCTTTGTAATGATATATAGAAATTTTAAAACAATGATTTTGTTTCATTAATGTTAAGATATCCACGATTTTCTTACATTGTTTACAAAATCATACAAATTAAAATTTAACAAACTTGCCCTTTTTTAATTAAAAATCAAACTTTTATTTTTTATTTCCTAATATTAACACATTTAATTTTGACCATTAATCAAAAAATGGGAAAAGTCCAATAAAACCCTATGAACTTTAGTGTTTTGATTGATTAAGTCCTTGAACTATTTTTTGGAACAAATAAATCATTGGACTTTTGAAAACTTGTTAAATAAATCCTTAAACTTTCTTAAACCTGTTAAATAGGTCATCATTCTTTAAAAATATAACTTGTAACCTGGGTAACAGGTAAACCAAACAAATTAAAAAAAGGGAAAAGTCTAAAAAAACCCAATGAACTTTAGTGTTTGGAATGATTAAGTCTTTGAACAATTTTTTGGAACAAATAAATCCTTGGACATTTTAAAACCTGTTAAATAACTCCTTGAACTTTCTAAAACTTGTTAGATACATCTTTATAACCTATAAAATTGGTTAATGTGGTAAAATAATGAAAAAATTCTGACAAAAACTAATGAACTTTTATATTTTGAATAATTTAGTCCATAAACATTTTTTTAACCAAAAAAATACTTCGATTTATAAAATGAAACAAATACCATTCTCATTAGCCTTCTCAAAAGATACAAAAACTGTACCCAAAGTATTTTAACAGAAGGAAAATTTTGAGCATTTTACCAAAAGTTGAACCAAAATATATATCAAAAGTCGCACCAAAAAATACAAACAATTGCCACAAATATACCAAAAGTTGCGCCAAAAATACCAACTATTGTGCCAAAATATACCTTAGGTTGTGCTAAAATATATCAAAGTAACACCTAACGTTGCGCCAAAAATATACCAAAAGTTGCGCCAAAAATATACCAAAAGTTGCGCCAAATATACCAAAAATATACCACAATAGTTGGTATATTTGGGGCAATTGTTTGTATTTTTTTGTGCGACTTTTGATATATATTTTGGTTCAACTGTTGGTAAAATGCTCAAATTTTTCATTCTGTTAAAATACTTTGGGTACAGCTTTTGTATCTTTTGAGAAGGCTAATGAGAATGATATTTGTTTCATTTTATAAATTGAAGTATTTTTTTGGTTAAAAAATGTTTAGGGACTAAATCATTCAAAATATAAAAGTTCATTAGTTTTTTGTCAGAATTTTTTCATTATTTTACCACATTAACCAATTTTATAGGTTATAAGGATGTATCTAACAAGTTTTAGAAAATTCAATGAGTTATTTAACAGGTTTTAAAATGTCCAAGGATTTATTTGTTCCAAAAAATTGTTCAAAGAATTAATCATTCCAAACACTAAAGTTCATTGAGTTTTTTTAGACTTTTCCTTTTTTTTAATTTGTTTGGTTTACCTGTTACCCAGGTTACAAGTTATATTTTTAAAGAATGAGGACCTATTTAACAGGTTTAAGAAAGTTTAAGAATTTATTTAACAAGTTTTCAAAAGTCCAATGATTTATTTGTTCCAAAAAATAGTTCAAGAACTTAATCAATCACAACAGTTCATAAAATTTTATTGGACTTTTCCCTCCAAAAATTGATAGATACGATTGGCTTATAGATTTTTAGGGATAAGATTTTTAGGGTGGTTTGCAGTTTATGGCTATTGTCTATATCTAAAATGCCCCCCCAAACCAAATAAATTTGTCATTATCAGTCAAAGACAATTACCATTTGGGTTCTTCATTTCTCACGTTTTGTACAGTGTCTATAAAAACAGGATCATCGACGCCATCTGATCACCAAACCATGGGTTCGATCTGTGAAGGAAATCAACACACAAGTGTTCTTCTGGTTACACTTTCGGCTCAAGGTCACATAAACCCCATCCTAAGGCTTGGGAACCGTCTTGTTTCCAAAGGCCTCCATGTGACTCTCGCAACAAACGACTCTGCCCTCAACAGAAACATTCCCTCCGATGTCAAYTCCGTCGGCAGACTCCACCTTGAGTTCTTTTCCGATGGTCTACCGATCAACCATAAGGCCGTCGATAGGGACTCCTACATGGACACGTTAGGTAAGTTTGGACCCATTAACCTTTTAGCCTTAATAAGATCCCACACACGTAAATTTGCATGCATAATCCACACCCCTTTCGTCCCGTGGGTKGCGGACGTGGCGGCGGAGGTCGGTGTTCCCAGCGCCATGCTATGGATCCAACCATGCACACTGTACCAGATATATTAYCATTATTACAATCGGCTCGAAGAGTTTCCTACTCAAAGTAACCCGAATATGAGCGTCAAGTTGCCTGGGCTGCCGGTTTTGGAAGCAGAAGAGCTGCCGTCGTTTGTTCTTCCATCGAATRCGTTTCGTAGCCTTGATGGTGTACTCAACACAGTGTTCCATAACATGCACAAGGTGAAGTGGGTGCTCGGGAATTCGTTCATGGAGCTCGAGAAAGATGTGATCACGTCGTTGAATGACGCTGGCCGTGTATTTTGGCCGGTTGGGCCGATGGTTCCGGCAACGCTTWYCGGTGAGGAAGAAGACGGCGGTTTTGATCTATTCAAATCAGATGACAAGAGTAACTGTATGGAGTGGCTAGACAAACAAGAGCCCACTTCGGTTGTTTATRTCTCATTCGGAACTCTCCTRTTCTTGTCCCAAAAGGAAATAGAGAGCATAGCGATCGGTCTTAAWAAAACAAAACGGCCGTTTCTCTGGGTGATAAATCCSTCGGAAAATCAAGAACGGGCGGAATTAGGGTTTTTGGATGAGATTAAGGAACAAGGGTTGATTGTGAGATGGAGTCCACAAACGGCGGTGTTGTCGCATCCATCAGTTGGGTGTTTCGTGAGCCACTGTGGGTGGAACTCGTTGATGGAGAGTCTCGTCGCCGGTGTGCCGATTATTGCATGTCCGCAGTGGACAGATCAGCCTACAAATGCTAAGATGGTGACAGATGTTTGGGGTGTTGGAGTGAAGTTAAAGAAGAATTCAGGGGGTGTATATGAYGGGGAAGAAATGGAGAGATGTGTGGAACAAGTCATGAGTGGGCCACAGTTCAGGAAGAAGGCGGTGGAGTTGAAAAGGGCGGCGCGTGAAGCARTCGCAGCCGGTGGTTCATCAGATGAGAATATTCAGATGTTTGTGAATGAAATGATGTCTTCTTGTTCGTGTAATTCTAAGCAAAAATAAATACGAATATATCTAAAATAATTTGGGAGATTCCTTTCACATGTTTCCCGATCAAAACTATGATTTCATTTATTTTTATTTAATCAGAGGAGCGATTAAATGCAAATCATGTTATTTGTATAAATCGTGTAAAGCATCTTTATTTATCGATTTTATTGTTTAATATTATGAATTTATTTCATATAATATTATTTTTTAAAGAAAAATTGCATCAAAATGGAAACAATTTTAACCTAATTCCTATTTTGGGGAACCAACTTTCAAAATCGTAATTTTGGGAAACTAACTTGCATCTGATTCCTATTTTGGAGAAGCAACTTTCAAAATCGTCATTTTAGGGAACCAACTTGCATTTAGTTCTTATTTTGGGGAACCAACTTGCAAAATAATTATAGAAAAATAACTAAAATTCGTTTTTCCAAAAATTAATGCAATAAAATCTATTTTTTCATTTCAAAACTCGTTTTTTTTAATTCAGATATCAAATTGAACATTTAAAAAAATCCAAATTACCATAATAAAATTTGTTTTTTACTAATGCAAAAAAATCAATTTAATAGAAAAAATTTAATTGATGCAATAAAAAAAAATATTAAATATCACATTCAAGATTTTTATATCTAACCAATTGCATCAATTAATTTTTTTCTATTAAATTAATTTTTTTTTTGCATTAGTAAAAAACAATTTTTATTGTGATTTGGAATTTTTTTTAATGTTCAATTTGATATCTGAATTAAAAAAACGAGATTTGAAATGAAAAATATATTTTATTACATTTATTTTTGGGAAAAAAAATAAATGTTTAGTTATTTTTCTATAATTATTTTGCAAGTTGGTTTCCCAAAATAGGAATCAAATGCAAGTTGGTTTCCCAAAATGACGATTTTGAAAGTTGGTTCTTTAAAATAGGAATCAGGTGCAATTTGGTTCCCCAAAATAACAATTTTGAAAGTTGGTTCCCCAAAATAAGAATTAGGTGAAAGTTGGTTCCATTTTGGTGCAATTTTCCCTATTTTTGAGAGAGTTGTTTCATATATGGTTATGAAATTGTTTCATATAATACTTATAAAATTTTAATAAAATTGTTTCATGTATTTCTCTAAAATTAATATTAAGAAAATGATAATATCCATTATATTAACAAACTCTAGAATAAAAATGATTAATTAACCTTTCATAATTCCAAACAAAAATAAAAACGAATATATCTAAAAAAATTTGGGAGATTCCTTTCACATGTTTCCCGATCAAAACTATGATTTCATTTATTTTTATTTAACTATTATTTTAATAAGATAAAATGATAATAATAGCTTAAAAAAATTAGTATATGATAGTAACAAAAAAGATTTGATAGTTATTAACTATTAAAGATCCAAACATGTATTAATTAAATATATATAAAAGAAGATAATATATGAAAAAAAGTTAATTTGTCGGTCATTATATAATATTGTTTAATGTTTCTCTAAGTTTTTTTTTATCTAATACCAACGTCTAAATCTATTTGCCTCAAAAACTTTGATATATTCTCCATGATTCATCTTTTATCTACTTTTGATTACTCCATTCTTGCATGAATTCTATTTTTGTATTAAATATAGTAGATTTGCTTGTAATTAGTTAACAGAACTCCCATCTTTTGAAAAAATTTACCAAACATATGAGACGATACAACTTATATATATATTTAGAATGATAAAACTATAATTGTTTTTTTATACTTATTATTTATTATCTAATATTGAGTGTATAAATCTTATGTAATACTTAATCTCTAAAAGAAGAATAAGAGTCACCTACGTTCAGAAATATATAAATGTCAAATCGATTTATAATTATCTCTTCAATTTAAAGAATATGGTCCTGTTTGGTTTAAGAAATATAATAGATTTGAAAGGATTTGCATTTAAAATCCATTCCAATCTTATATTTAGTTTGTTGGCTTGTCCGGATTTGAAATCCTTGATTTTATTGAAATCCTTCAAATATAGGATTTCGAAATCCTTGATTTTATTGAAATCCTTCAAATATAGGATTTCGAAATCCTTAGAAAGTGATTGGGATTTCACGAGATTTGATAGGATTGTATGCAATAAAGTTTTAGAAAATGTTAAAAACATTTGTTTTATAATAATCGATTAATAAAAATGTAATTCAATTATTTTCATAACTATTTATAATTTTTTCTATAAATTATTTATAAATAATGAAATCCAATTCCATTCCAAATCTTACAAACCAAACATACCAATGATTTTAAATTCATTCCAATCCAAATACCTCCATGAAATCCAAATCGTTCAAAAACAATCTTGCAAACAGGGGAGGGCGGGCGTACGCCCAGGGCCTATAAAATTTAAGGGCCCAATTTTTTTAATATATATAATAGTAGTTCAAAAAAATTAGTAAATAGAAGACACATAAAAAAAATTAATATCTAATATGACAAGAAAAGATTTTGGTACTACATCAACTATTAAAGACCTAAACATGTATAAATTAAATATATTGGAGAAAAAAAATATATAAAGAGGTTAATCTGTCACTCATTATATAATATTATTTAATGTTTTTCTAAGTTTTTTTTATCTAAAATCGACATATAAAACTACTTGCTTTGGAAAATTTGATATATTATCCATAATTTATCTCCCATTGACTCTTTTGATTGTTCCATTCTCTCATGAATTCTACTTTTATATTAGAATATATAATAGATTTTCTTGTTATTAGCTAATAAAACCTCCGTCTTTTGAAAAAAATTATCAACCATATATGATAATACAACTTATATCTATATTTAGAGTAATAAAACTATAATTGTTTTTTCATAGTTATTCTTTATTATCTAATATTGAGTATATAAATCGTATGTACTATTTTATCTCTAAAAGAAAAATAGAATCTTAACTATCACCAACATGAGTTTTTTAATTTATACAATCGATGGTTACAAAAAAGTTTATTTTAACCCTAACCATATGTTCTTGAATCTTCTTTTACGTAGGAAAGTGATGAAAGTAATAGGGGAAGAAAAATAATCTGTTCTCGAGATTTTTTTAGGGAAAAGAAAAAAATTATGTAAAAATTTATTTTTATTTCATTATTTTTCTTTCCGCTCTCTACTCTATTGAAAACACAAATAAAAAACTTTGTTTTTCTTCCTTTCTTTTATTTTTCTTTTCCTTTCTCATTATTTTCTTTCCTTCCCACGTTTGAAAACATAATATAAAAGTTTAAAATGTTGTTAATCTTCTTAAATTCGAAAACATGATATAAAAGTTTAAAATGGTGCTAATCTTCCCGAACTCAAAAACATAATATAAAAGTTTAAAATGATGCTAAAAAATATTAACATGAGATGACATGGAAAACCAACTTATTTACATAGTCACTCGGAAATTAGAATAATTGACTTTGTGACATCAAATGATGTCATTCTATGTACCAAAAGTATATCATAGAATGTTTTTGATGATGAAACAAATTACTGATACTACATAAAAAATGTTCTAGTAGATAATATTGATTTACAAACGAGTACTGATTGATTTTGCATCCATGAATACTCGGAAAAACGGTTTTATATAAATTCAATGTTATTTTTGATGATAAAAACAATATATTGAAAAATTATCGTACTTATTGAGGGCCCTTTTTTACATCTTGCCCAGGGACTAAAAAATGTCAGGAACGGGCCTGCTTGCAAACCAAACATACTCTACGTGTACCCATATCATTCTCTAAAAGAGTTTTGAGGAAAAAAGCAAGGTATATATATATATAGAGGAGCGATCAAATGAAAATTACCCTCATTTGTAAAAACCGTACAAATCATCCTCATACGTCGATTTCATTGTTTAATCTTATGAAATTTTTTCATGAAATTGTTTAATCTTGTGAAATTGTTTCATATAATACTTTTTTTGATGA